TGATTTTAGAATTAACACCAGATAAACTAATTGAAGCTACTTCTGCTGTTAGTGTTGGTGTTCGACCCTAGGCTACTATGATATCGGCTATCTGCAATAAAGCTGGCGTTGATTTGCATGAAATTTTTTTATCAAGATCTACTCCACACAGAAAAAGATACAGAATTATTGAAAATGTTGGTAATTATTATTCGTTTGGTTAATTATTAATTATTATTCGCAAAAATGAATAAGTAAACTTGTTTTATATATTTTTATTTATTACTTAACTGCTTTAGATGAAACGCAAAAACAGGATATTGTTGATGTTTTAAAAGAAAAGAAACTTATTGTTCATTTTGATAAGAAACTTCTTAAACAGCTGGAAGACGAAAATGATCTGACAGTTACCTGTGAGAAAATTGCTGTTAGAGTAACAGTTCTAGATTTGGAATGTTGAGATAATTTCTTGCTTGGCATTGTACAGGCAAAAAATTTAACTGGTTCAGAGCAGACTCATTTAATCCTTAATCTCTTGGAATACTACGGTATCATTGACAATATTGTGGGTGACGTGAGACCACATGCATCCAACATTGGAGAAATTGCTGGAGTAGCTACAATTCTATAAACTATCCTTAATACTAGTCTTATATGTTGCATGTATCGTCACCTTATCATTGAAATACATATTAATCATTTGATTACTAAACTGACTGGTGTAAAGACTAAGTCTCCAAGAAGATAAATTTTTTTGCGCGGTTACAGAAGGTCTGGTCAAGACCTCATCTGATAGTCTAGTTAGGTTTAAATGGACTTCTTTAGAGGTTGGATCATCTATCTACATTATACCCAAAGTAGCATTAAAGTTTGGGGAGACTGCATTAAATAAAAATATTTTTAAGAGAGGAGACACAAACATCTTTGTCAAACCTATGTTTACTACCTTGGTGGACATGTTCCTGCTATAACAGTTTATCAGCCAGGAGCTTGCCATGAAGCAAAATTTATGGTAGATGCAATTTATTTGCTTACATTAGAAATGACGAAGGACTATCAAGCATCATAAATAAAAGGGAGAAAAAGTTCAGACAGCTTTTTATTTATATCTCTAACATACTGTCCTTGGTTCTTTAAAAGTTCTTTGAGTATTAAAGCTCTAGTTAATGATTCATCAGATTTTAAGGGTGTGACTGATTTAAGTAGAGAGTATTATGAGCTCACTCAAAAACTACTGAAAGGTATGCAGAATCATATCTGGTATTTAAATAAACAGCTTGTTTTAATGTCTTTAGCTGATGATGAAGTTGAAAAAGACGAGAAGATGAAAATACAGCAAAAACTTCAACTTTTAGTTTCCTTAATAGTTTCCAATTGCTAAAGAGTTTATGAAGGTCAAACCTAAAATGCCTGTAAACGCGGTCTACAACACAATCAGATCTAGTTGGTAATTAAAGCTGGATCTTGTTTCGCCCAGCCAAAGTTACCCATGCCCATGTTGAGTTAGCTGCAAAAAGGGACTTTTTTATTTTGAGCAACTTTAAATAGTTTGCAAAAATTATAGGTCAATGATTGCGTAAAAAAGAATATAAAGTTGATGCAAGACTTTATTATGTCACATAAAATTGAAGAAATGAAGCAGAATGTGTTGTTGGTTGCCTAAAACTACAGAAAAAAGTTGAATAGAAATTTGACTAAAACTCAGCTATATTAAATTTAAAGAGCTTGTTATATTTTTTTAACCCTTCTGTCCACAATTCTTTAACATATGTAACATATATTACAACTCATGATTTGTATTAATAAATAAATTTTTATTTTAATAAATGTTTAATAGAAAGAGATTATTTTATTAGCTACATGTTTTTTTTTACTAAGTTTATTTAATAAAAGAAAAGAATATAAATTTTTGAAAGAAAATTTTTTTACCAAGTACTTATAACCTTTTAAATTAAAAAAACTCTTTTAGATTATCTAATTATTTAGCGCATCAATTAAGAAATTTTTAAAAGGTCCAAATACTGATACGTCTGGTAAGTGTTGATTATGGCTACAGAGTGATTTTTTGAGGTAAAAAAAAACAGAGTGATAGAAAATACAAAATATTTTTTCCATTCACATTCACTAATTTTAGAGCTTCTAAATGGTAATAATAAGAGTGATTGCCAAAAATCGATAGAATTTTATATTAATTTAAAGACTTTCTAATAAAATGTTCAATAAATTTTTTAAATATCTGTGACTAAACCATTTTCGTTACCTGCACCAATTCAGTCAGGTAAATTATTGCTAATAAAATAATCTTGGTAATTTTTGCGAAGAAGTATAAACATGTTGCACTATGTTTACTAAGAGAGATAAAATGTTTTCTATTATGATATTAGTGCCTCCTTCCGCTGAGGTAATTTTGACCTTTGCAGCCAAACAGCCTTGAACAGAAGCTCTTTTTAGACGTAACTGTTTCTTTTTTTTCTTTTTAATTAGAACAACTCATTTTCAAAACAAACGTTTTTTTTTTACTTCTTATAATTATTGCATTGTTGTTGATATCCTTTTATTGATGAATGTTCACATAACCTCTAATAAACATCTTCTTGGATCATCCTTTACTATTGATATCTTATGAAAACCATGTATACAATCAATTGCAAATTTAGTTCCTGTTAAGGTTGTCTCTTTTTTTTTTTTTTACCTCAAAAAATCACTTATATATGTTCCCTCGTAATAAATACTCTCTTCATATTTGGGTAGGTTCTGCTAATGATATCTTTTTTTCTTTTAAACAAAGTCTAAAAATGTGTTGTAAATGTAAAACTGCTCCAGCTGCCAGACCTGAGCCTCAGTCCAATATTCGTAAGATTTTCTCAATTACTAACATAGTTTTGGTTGTTGTAAGGTCAATTTTTTATATATGAGTAGTAGATGGAGTAATATATAATATAAATCTATAAATAAATAGATTGTATGAATAAAAAATATGTAATGTATACAATAACATCAATGAAAACCATAGCAAACAAATAGCACGCAACTTAAGTTTTAATAATTGAAATCTTACGTAATGAAATTAATAAAATTGTTAGGTTATAAAATTATACATTTTTTAATCTTATTTTAAGCTCAAAAATGTATGTTTATTAACTGAATTATTTATGGATAGACATCGAATAATTTAAGTGGACATCGAATTATTTAAAGTTAGGCGCAGCAGTTTGTAGAGGAAGTTCATGTACCTAGGGCCGACTTTTTTTAACGAACTAATTCAAGGCCTTGGACTTGTCTAAAAATAGTGCAACTGATGTGATCACATCTAATTACTAGTTACACTAATTACTTAATATTAATAAAGGTATAGAGACCTAAAATATAAAAACTCGTGATGTAGAAGGGTTTAAGAACTAGAAGTACTAGGTAAAATAATCTTTTGTTAAACTGTACCTACGGCCACCAGCAGGGTTAGAGTCAATTGCGTTTAATCAAATACATATAAAAAACAAGTACGTTAATTCATCCAAACAAAAATACAAATATTTAGGTTAAGAAAAAATTTTTATAACCAAGACAAGAATGATAAAATAATCTACTACATAGAAGAGTGAAAACAAGTTGTCTAACAAACATCCACTAAAATAAATGAAAAACAAATTTTTATTTTGTTAAAGAAAAAAATACAGTGAACCTCTTGGTATTTCCCCAAAAAGTACTGGTTAAACTAGTTTATGGAGCTGAAAAATACATTTCAATCAAATGCAAATACAAATATAAGTAAGTTTTTAATTAAATACAATATGAATACAAAAACGCCAAATTAGCCCATTTTTACTAAATACAGTTGCAAATACAAATACGCTTGGACTCCAACCCTGGTCATGAGCTATTGTCCCAAAAACCGCTTTCTAAAAATTAATAGGTTTTCTGATATAAATAGGTTTAACTCCATAATAAATAGACAACAAAGAAATTTTATCAAAAATTTATCTAGTATTACATAAAATTTCGCTCGTTTAAAAATGTTAATTCTTCATAGTTCTGAGCAAAATTAACAAATAAGTCTTTTAAACCTATTAAATAAACCCGGATTGAGAAGAAACTTAATAAACATTGCATTTAGTACTTAAGTAACAAACAATATAATATATAAGAACCTATAGAAAAGCATTTCCTCTAGGATTGTAAAACAATATAAAATATCAGCAGCAAAAATTTCTTTAGGCTATCTAAAAGCATTTTACGATTATAATTTGCCATAGCAACGTTCTCTGAGAGTCAAAATAGAATTGAAACATTTTTTCTTCTAACTACCACACGACTAATAAGCATAACCTAAAACTTCATAGTTTTCAAATAAAGCAGAAGTCATTCCTAGTATCTTTTTGATGTAATATTTATAACGAGAGAAAGCTAATATATCTATATCAATAAACATATAATTTTATTCTTGTCGGTCTTATACCCAAATATAATAATAGGAGCAGTGGTTTGTATATAGTATTACAAATTATTACTCAAATAAGAAATATTAAAACATGAATAAAAATAATGAAAAACAAGATACAACTTGAAAAACCAGCTTTTCACAAATACATTTTAATGTCATAAATTTTAAAGTTACCTAAAATCTTCATCTTTGATATAACCTTTCCCTTACAAAAAAACCCAGCGAACTTCCAGTGAAAAAATGTTCCAAAACCCAGCGAACTTCCAGTGATCTTTTCCAGTGATCTCTAAAGTTCACTGGAAATTTCCAGCGAACTTGTTCCAAAACCCAGCGAACTTCCAGCGAACTTTTCCAGTGATCTTTAAAGATCACTGGAAGTTCGCTGGAAATTTCCAGCGAACTTGTTCCAAAACCCAGCGAACTTCCAGTGAACTTTTCTAGCGAATTTTCATGTTTATGTATAAAAATAGATTCGCTGGAAGTTTTTTTTAAAAAGATTTTATATTTTTGCTATAAAAGTTTCAAAAGTTTATAAACATTTTAAAATTTTTTAACCAATAAACGCGAAATAAGAGAAGTTAAGCGCGATAAAAAAGTAATATATTTATTTTAAAATATCGAGTTTTATAAATTAAAATACAATGTAGGATTAGATTATCTTAGGTATAATTACAAATTCTCAGAAATAAACTTCAATACAGAATACAATTTTTAACAAGAAACTAAAAAGTTAATTTATTAATTAACGTAAAACATATTTTTTTATAGGCATAAGTAAACTTTATATTACGCATGTTTCTATATTTAAAAAGTTTTTTCTCGTTAGCTTTCTCATACGACAAATTATCACAACGAAACAAAAAGAATTATGAAATTCGTCAATTCATCTTTTGAAAACCACTTTAGGCATTCTTTTCGGTTTGGGTCTTTAGAGCTAAAAAAAAAAAGAAAAAAAAAAAAAAGAATGCATACAATAAATAAAGAACATATATATATATATATATATATATATATATATATATATATATATATATATATATATATATATATATATATATATATATATATATATATATATATATATATATATATATATATATATATATATATATATATATTTTAACAATATTCAAAATGTATTCTACAAAATAGAGTGCTCAATGTTCTTAAAAGAACAGAGCAATTATAAATAAGTAGAAAATTACTTAACAAAAATTTTTTTTCATTTTACACTGTTACATCGAAAACTTTTAAAAAATTTTCTATTAAGTGACTTTCTACTAATATATATATATATATATATATATATATATATATATATATATATATATATATATATATATATATATATATATATATATATATATATATATATATATATATATATATATATATATATATATATATATATATATATATATATATATTTTGGTAAATAAATTTAAAAACTGAAGACAATACAGAGAAAAAATTAATGGACAAATAAACTTGCTACAAATCAATTAAAAATTTTATTACAAATTATGACAAAATAAACCTCCTAATATTAAAATAACAATAATAATGTAGTAAGTTAGTTAGATAAATTTATATTTAGGATTTTCCCATTTAATATGAAGTGCTTCTTTTATTTTTAATTTGTTAATGGTAGAGGCAGTATCCAAAATCTAAAAGCAATCAAAATTAGTTAGTGTTTTACAAACACTAACTAATAATTATATAAAACATAATATTCAAAATAAGACAAAATGTGAAATGATAAGCAAAAATAAAACAGTATAAGATAGATAAAAACATACCAACATATTTTCGCGCAATTAGAATCAATCATTTTTTATTAATTTATCAATTTCCAACCAATAGCATTTTATCACTTTTATCCTGCATAAAAATAATAATTATAGATAAAATAATAAAAACTTAATTATATATATATATATATATATATATATATATATATATATATATATATATATATATATATATATATATATATATATATATATATATATATATATATATATATATATATATATATATATATATATATATATATATATATATATATATATATATATATATATAATTAATTATTATAATAACTAAATAATTTTAATTTAAAAACCCAGCAAACTTTCACTGGAAGTTTTCTGGGTTTTTTTTTGTAAGGAACTTTACAATTTTTAAACTAATTTTTTTTTAAATTTTCAACTGCTTAAATCAACAAAACAAAAATTCATACAGCTCTACTTTTCTGTACTGATATAGATATTTAAATCTGTAAAAAACATAATAGTCATTATAAAGCAAAACTTAAACCTGTATAATAGAGAAAAAGAAAAATATTGCAGTAAGTATATCTTATAGGCAATATGATGCTTAAGCATGTTTTTTAGCCCATTTCAAAAAAGTCGAGAACCATATGGCAGTAGTTACATTTTTTATTCCGAATAAGTGTACTTTGTTTACTTTCTCTGATAACTTATGTCATCTAATTCAAATTGTACTTATTAGGATATTTTAGTATAATTTTAGATGGAAAAATTATGAAGTCAGTGGTCTGTTGGTTCTCTACTGACAAATTAGCATAACAAAACAAACAGAATTGCGAAAATTGACTTTAAAAGTATTTTCGTTTGGGTCTTTAAAGCTAAAAAAAAAAGATGGTTTATACAATATTTAAAGGACATCAATAACAATTTTATAAAAACATATAATAAATACTGTATAAAATTTTTATATATAGAGAGAGAAAGATTTACAATTTTAGTTAAACATAAATAAAAACTGCATTAAAATATAATAACTGCTTTAAAATAACTCTTTAATATAAAACATATTTTCTTTACCATACAAATCAGAAAACTCATAAAAAAATCTTTTAACTAATAATGTGGCTTCATTAATTACACTTTCAGATAATACCTTATTGTTCAACGTAAAAACAATATTAGATAAAAGAATAAAATGGTCAAAAAACTGAGGAGGCAAAACATCACATAAAATAACAGGACCATAAAAAACTAAAAAATTAAAAAACTCAATACCTTTCCAATGCTTTATACAACTTAATGATCATCGAGTCTGTCTTATATTGCTTGGCACACTGATTGCAGATAAAAGATTATTTACAACAGTACAGTGTCTTCTAATAGAAAAAATATAACCAGAATAATAACTATCTAATCAGAAAGAAAACATAGCTTTCATAACACCAAGCTCAATACAGTGCAGATTATTAACAACTGTTCCATTTTCACAATTAAAATTAGGTACTCTTACAAATGTAGAAAAATCTAAAAACCCTTTAATCACATTAATCCAAAAAAAATCTGTATGGTTTCTACAACTCCCACTAACATCAGAAAATGGATAAGTCATACAAGACCTCCTACCTTTTTTTAACTCTTACCCCTTGAGAAGAACACCAATGGCAACCATTATAATCATTAAACTACCTACAACAAAAAACCATAGCTCCTGCAATTGTATCACACAAAAAAATAGACACATGAAAAAAAACACAAACATTATTAGATAAGAGTATACCAGTAGTGAATAGGTTAGTAAAAAATCAACAAAACAAGATAAAAATAATTGCACGTTTGGTTTTTTAAAACTGGACCAGAAACCAAAAAACAAAATATAAGTAATTTGCAATGAATATGGAAAATTATGAATGGATGCTAGCAAAGGCCACAAGGTCCACTTTGATAATTTAAAAACAGGAATTCCATCAGTATTAACAACAAGTCTAATTGTTGCTTGCACATTTTCTTCAAGACTTGCTAAATGTATCCAATTGTTATCACACATGTTTTTATGCTGTTTGTTTATGTTTAAAATATGAAAATAACTGCATTTCTTATAAAGAATACACTAACATATTATATATATATATATATATATATATATACATATATATATATATATATATATATATATATATATATATATATATATATATATATATATATATATATATATATATATATATATATATATATATATATATATATATATATATATATATATATATATGTATATATATATATATATATATATATATATATATATATATATATATATATATATATATATATATATATATATATATATATATATATACTAATTTATTATTGCTCTGTTCTTTAAGAACGTTGAGCACTCTATTTGTAGAATACACTAACATATTATATATATATATATATATATATATATATATATATATATATATATATATATATATATATATATATATATATATATATATATATATACTAATTTATTATTGCTCTGTTCTTTAAAAACGTTGAGCACTCTATTTGTAGAATACACTAACATATTATATATATATATATATATATATATATATATATATATATATATATATATATATATATATATATATATACATATATATATATATATATATATATATATATATATATATATATATATATATATATATATATATATATATATATATATATATATATATATATATATATATATATATATACTGAAAGAGAGAGGGATATATATTATATATCCCTCTCTTTCAGCGAGAGAGAGAAACAGATTGTTATTTATTATTTTTAATATAAATTACTTAATCATAAAGACATTTATAAAAATTATTTTTATAAAATAATAAACTTGAATTTAATAAATAAAATGCATTCGCATAAAGCGAATGCATAATAAACAATACTTAAGAGAAATAAACATTTTGAGCAACATACCAGATGATTTTGTTTTGTAACTTGAGTAGAACTAATAATAATTGAAACTCACACTATAGATCATCTATTAGATGCAAAAAATAAAATAAAAAGGATTACTTTTATACAAAAATTTGAAATATTATTTTAAGAAGCTATATTATCAATTTTCCAAGTTTTAACTGCTTGCAGAAGTTGTAACAGCAACGCTTTTTACATCACCGCGAAATATTTCGCAAGAAACCCAGTAAACTTCCAGCGAACTTTAAGATCATTGGAAGTTTTTCGTTGGATTTTCAGCAAACTTCCAGCGAAGTCTTATGTTTCCATGGAAATCCAGCGAAAACCCAGTGATCTTAGTAAATTTCCAGTGATCTTTTAATTTCCAGCGAACTTTCGCTGGAAGTTCGCTGGGTTTTTTTGTAAGGGTTAGTTTGTAAAAGAATATCTCCCAATAAAACTTTTTTATCTGTCAATAAAGGAACAAATATAATAATAAAAATTTTAATACAATTTGTTCATTTGTTTCTTTACTATTTAGATGAAGAAAATCAGTTTACATTTTTTCAATACTTATATAGTAAACTCCCAATAACTCCGACGAGCAAGAAAAATATAGAATGATTTTTATGTAAAATTAAGTTCGACACGAATCTGAAAACGCGTCAAACCTAATCTGAATACTGAGAGTTTAAATTATCGAGAGTTTCTTATAGTTTTTTTTCCCCTTGGATTTAACAATAGTTTTTTTGGGGTTGATGCAGGGTTAATCTTTTTGAGTAAAATTTTTTCATAATTTCAGTTAAGTATTTAATAAAATAAAAAAATCAGTGCAAAGTATTAAAGCTGATTTTTAACTTTGATTTGATTTGTTCATAGAAACTTATTTGAATTGTTTATTTGATACGTGTCCAATGTGTTATGTATGATGTGCCCGATGTGTTATGTATGATTTTAAAAAAATATGTAAATAAAAAATGAGCAAAAGCAAACAACTTGTTAAAACCTTAATAGATGTCTATATATAAGATTATTGTCAAAAAAATATATAAAATTTACAAAAAAAAAAATTAATTTAGACTGTTACCATTGGTATTCTCAATATTTTGATTCAAATTAGGTGCAGTTGGAGGCCGTTCTAATTTCACTGTTAGATCAGAAAAATCATTTAGGTCACTTTTTATTGCAGCTAGTTCATCGTTTTGATCAATATCTTCATATCCTTAAAAAAAAAGAAAAAGAATTTTTTTTATTTGTTAACCACCTTGACGTGATTAGTTAAAGATTGTGGTAGGGGTTGGTCGGGGTGAAGTCATTCTAGTTAAGCAGTGTTTGGAAAATGTTAGTTTCTGTTTCTAAGAAACAAGAACAAATTTTTAAAACAAAATTTTGATTTCGATTCAAAACAACTTACTTTACTTTACAACATATAATTTTGATATGAAACAAAACCTTGGTTGACACCAACCTCGAAAGTTAAAACTTTAAAACATTTCCTAAGCAACTTGTATTGTTGGGCTAACCGCAGTTTGCGTTTGCCGGCGTAACTAGATTAGTTAACCATGTTTTTCTTTATATTTATTATAATTGTTTGAAAAGTTATAATATTATAGTTACTATTTGTAATATTTTTTTATTCATATTATTATTATTATTATTTTTGTTATAATATTATTATTGTAATTATAAATATTATCTTTATTTATTAGTGTTTTATTATCTTTTCTATTTTTTTTTTTTTTTCGCTTTATTTTATTTTAAATTTTTGGTATGTTTTATTTATAGTTTTTTTTGTAATTGTTTTTTTTTTTTTTTTTTTTTTTTTGGTGTCTCTCCATTTTTAAACTACATGAGTGACACCTGACCTTGTTTATGTGAGTATATAATATATTATTATAAATTTTTTATACTTTATAGTTAAATAAATGGATAAAATTATGTTGGCGTTGTTTTGGACCACTATAAGTCTAACTAATCATTGTATTGTCCTAACCTTTAAATAAGTTATTACTTTCCCAACAAAAATATTCTTGATAAAAATGTTAGTAATCAAGGTTGAACTAGCTAGAATATATAACGAAACTTACAATAACATTTTGCTGATTTTCTTTATTTTATTTTTTATTTGGCATTAATTTTTATAAATTTTTATAAATGACAATAAAAAAGCGAATTGTGAACAATTGTAACTTAAAATCATTCAAAGATCAAATTTTACAGCAGGACTGGAATCACATAAACTTTTATGATAACATAAACATTATCTATAACACATTTTTTAAAACTTTCTTTAAAATCTATGACGCTAATTTTCTAACTTGTGAAATAAATCTCAAGGCCAAAGACATATTATCTTCTTCGATAACTAAGGGACTAAAAAAGTCTTCAAAACTAAAACCAAAATTGTATAATAAATACTTAAAAACAAAATCTGAAAAACATCAACAAAATTACAAAAACTACAAAAAACGGTTTGAAAAACTCCACAAAAATGCTAGAAAAAATTATTATTCTAAATTGCGTACTCAGCACAAACATAACTTAAAAAGTGTCTGGGAATTAATGAAAGAAATTACAGGAAAGCAAAAAGTAATTTCAACTTCTCTTCCACTTGCAATAAAAGTTGGAAATAAAATAACTAATGATTCCAATGAAATTGCGACTGAATTTAACAAATTTTTTTCCAATATAGGAACAAATTTATCAAACAAAATCCCTTTATTAAATTATAAATTAACAGATGAACGTCAAACGTCAAACTCGTTACATTTTACAAACCTAACGCTTCAGGAAATTGATACAGCTTTTAGATCGTTAAAAAGAAATAAAAATTAGTAGGACCTGACGGTATAAATGGAAATATTGTAATAGACTCTTATGATGTCATGAAGGATATTCTTTACAAAATATTTAAATCATCCATTAAACAAGGTTCTTTCCCAGACTCTCTGAAAATAGAAAAAGTAATTTCTATTTTTAAAACAGGAGACCCGACCAATATAACAAATTAAAGACCTATTTCTGTTCTTCCAGTTTTTTCAATAATATTAGAAAGAATAATGTATAATAGAGTGTACACATACCTAATTACCAATAAGCTCTTTATGAAAATCAGTTCGGTTTTATAAAAAACAACTCAACCGAACATGCTATTCTTCAATTAACACGTTATATTAAAGAATCTTTTAAAAATCAAAAATTTACACTTGGTGTTTTCATTGACCTGTCTAAAGCTTTTGACACGGTCGATCATAATATTTTGCTTAAAAAACTTGAATGTTATGGCATAGCAGGTAAAACTCTAAGTTGGTTCAAAAGTTATCTCTCCAACCGAAAGCAATTTGTTTTTAATAAAGATTCCCAACCTCAAACATTAATGAACATAACATATGATGTCCCACAAGGATCCATACTTGGACCACTTCTTTTCATTATATATATAAATGATCTTAACAAAGCATCCAATTTAAAGACTATAATTTTTGCAGATGACACAAACTTGTTTCAGTCACACGAAAATATAAACCTACTTTTTTATAATATGAACAGAGAACTTAAAAAAATTTCAATTTGGTTAAAAAAAAATAGGCTATCTTTAAATATTGAAAAAACAAAATGGATACTTTTCCATCCAAACTATAAAAAACAGATACTGCCTGTAAATATGCCTAATCTTTTTATAGACAATGTCATTCTAAAAAGAGAAAAAGTGAAAAAATTTCTGGGAGTTTTTATTGAAGAAAGTCTGTCTTGGAAGTCACACATCAATAATATTTCTAATAAAGTTGCAAAAAACATTGAAATTCTATACAAATCTAGAGGTATTTTAAACAAAAAGCAATTAACACAATTATATTACTCTTTTATTCACTGTCATATCAATTATGCAAATATTATATGGGGAAGTACACATAAAACTAAACTTAAATCTCTTTATCGGCATCAGAAACACGCAGCTTGCATAATAAGTTTTAAAAATCGTTTTTCGAACTCTAAACCGCTTTTTAAAGAAATGGACGTTTTAAATGTTTATCAACTAAATATATTTAATGTTTTGTGTTTTATGTACAAATGTAAAGAACTTATGTCTCCCGATGTATTTGTAAACCTTTACAAATTTAAACCCCAAAACAAATATAACCTACGTAATAATAACTTTTTAGAAAAACCTTTTTGCAATAATAAACAAGCTCAATTTTGTATATCTTATCGTGGACCTTTTCTCTGGAATGAAATAGTACGGCCTAATTTTATTTTTTCATCTAAATTGACCTATTCCTTTTTCAAACAATCTATTAAAAAAAACATTTTTTCAACAAAAAATATTTTTGATTTTTTTTTATTTAAAAAAAAAAAATAATAAATTTTTAGTTGCTATACTGCATAATGATTTGTTATGTTTTATTTTGAGTTTTACTTCTGAAGTATGTAGTGTCAAAATTATGATATATTTAGTGATTATATATTCTCGGTATATATTTATTGTATATAATATATAGATGTTTTTATTGTAGAAGAAAATAGAATTTTGTTAAGGGCTTCGTGATAAGATCATTACGATCTTCTTGAAGTCCTGTCCGTATAATATTATCAATCTTGATGTAAATAATATTATACGGCAAATAAAATAAAATAAAATTAAAAAAAAAAAAGTATATACCTTGTTTTAACAAAAGTCTAATATCTTCAGTCAGTGCCGTGGCTACTGTTGGCTAAACGTTGGGCCAGAAAGGCTTAACGTTTATACAACATAGAAGATCACAGGACTTCTAGAACTTTTGTGATCATTTAGAAGTCTTGTGATCCTTTAGAAGTTTTCTGAACTTTCAGAAGAGACATCTAAAATGCTTAGATGGGCTTAGACCACCTCAGTTTTAATCTTCGCCCCATTTGTGATTCTTAGAATTTTTTTTCCGATTTTATAATAAAAATTAAAATACCGTTAGATATTCTTGAAATATCTTAGTAACTAATTTAAAAAAAAGTAAACACTCCTGAATAAATTTTTGTAACGTGCATCTAAAATGCTTAAATAAGCTAAGGCTTCTTCAATTTTACGTTTTTTACCTCTTTATGACACTTTGAAAGGATTTTTAAAAAGCTCGTTTCTATTGTTTTAAGACAAAAGGTCAAAAATGTTTCATCTGATTGACGCGACATAAAACCTGACGGTTTTTTTGGGCCCACAATGCATAATTTATGCACAATGCTTAATTTATGCAACTATTTAAAGATTTTTTTTTATTTTATTATTTTGTCTTTTTTATTAATTTTTATTTGTTTTTATCATTTTTAATTTAACAGGTAAAAACACATGGATTTTTATGAATAACTTTATATAAATTTATGTATTAATAAAAATAAAAATAAAAGATTTTGTATTATGTAATATAATTTACTTTATAACAGTTTATGTAATTTGAATAATGCATTTAGCTATGTAAGTCATCAAAAAGAAACTTACCGTTAATAGATTTTGCAGATTTTCCGTTTGCATAAATTAAAAGTAATAAAACTAATAGTTTTTGAAACATATTAATGTAGTATATTAAAAGATAAAATATTGAACTGATTTACAGCATTTCATATGTTAAACTGACTTTGTTTTAAGTGACATTGCTAGCATTATTAACAAGATTAAAGTTAGAAAAATAAAACTCTTAGCAACAAAGAAAAGAATACAAGTCGTTTATTCTTGTAAATTTAAAAGTTATTGTTAATAATTCTTTAGTTAAAGCATATAAGAAGTCATATGAAGCATATAAGTATAGAAAATTATTTATATTTTTTTGTCTTAAAAAAGTAATTTGTGCTCAAAATAATTTTTTTTTTTAGAAAAGCATACAATTAACATATTTTATTATGCTCAATTAACATAATTTAATGTTTTCATGACTTTTTCTTAGTGTTGATATCGACTTCGGCTAAATCAACTAAAAGTCAATTTAGTATAGTGATAATCTTAAAATCCTTTTATCTTTTCATTATATTTAACTTTCCAATTTTTTATTTTTGTTTGTTTGCTTAAATACAAAAGCATATACAATAACTTCTTTTTTGTAATAAATATTTTTACATATCGTTATTCAAAAGGGGTATATATAATGTATATATAACAACAAATATATAACGAGGGGTATATATAACAACAAATATATAACGAGAGATATCACAAACAGTGGTTTTGCGTCACCAAATATTCGGCTACCGAATACTCGTGACTCTTTCTTATTTTGAGGGTTCCAACCTGGTTTATTGAAGTGCAAATGGTTGAAAAACTGACAAAAAAAGTTAAATTGAAAATTGGCAGTTTTGACTTAATGATGCAGTATTGGGAAGTTTACAATGCTCTATAAACTGGCAAAATACAAGTCGAAGGAAGCTTTTCTCTGATTATAAAAATAGATTTAATGTTTTATGATTTAACTCATAAAACAGGTGTTTTATTTAGGCTAAAAGCTTTTAAACTAAAAAAAATAAAAACTTTAAATATTTTTTTAAATAAACACTTAACATTATGGTGTCAACAACAAATGCAATTTAATGAGACTATAAAAGTTTCAATTTGGAAGAAGAAATTAATCATTTAAGTTAAATGATTAATTTCTCTTAATAGGGATTTTTGAGTTAAATAGAATACCTACAAAATGTTAACTACGCTGTGGAAGTTTTTGTTTAGTTTATGACTTAGCTGTGTAAAAGCACACATATTTGTAGGCTGTTATACCAGTTTGATTTAAGTTATGTAAAAACATATCATACTCTTCTAATCACTCAAAAAGATTATAAAATCGTCCATAAATTACGTAACGGATGACGTAAGGGATCGTCTATAAATTACGTAACGCAAAATTTCACAATAAACAAAACAAAAAAAGATCAAAAGTTTTCCCTCGCAGAGTCGTAACTTAAATAAATAATCAAAATAGGAAATTAAGCTAGATGAAATCGCCGCGTAAAAGAGTTTATTATCTCCTACTTCTGTTCTTAAAATATTTTTTGCGTTGCGTAATTTATGGACGATCCTTTATAAAAATAACCAACTCATGTATTACCATTTCAGAAGTAATTTCAGAAGTTGATATAGATAGACCTTAACTATAACCTGAACTTAAAACATGGCTTAAATTTAATGGGAATGTCAATTATGCGGTTGAGATAAAACGATGCGATAAATCCTTCTCAGTGAAAGGCTCTTAAGACCGATAAACCATCACCGGTGACAAGTAGCACCGGTTATGATAAAGCTCTACTTTCTAAAAAAAAAAAGAAATGTAAATGAAAACGATCAAGCTAATCTCTAAGAAAAATACTCACATATGAAGATGTGAGAAAGAACAATTCAAATCGCAAATGATATTAGTTTTTTCATGAAACCTTTTGCTTAAATTGGACAGCCAAGCCTTATAAGTGTTAGTCATCAAACGCAAAACATTATCCTAACAGAACTTGCAAAACTTTTCTAAATTATTTGCTAGTGGCAGTGTATACAGTGAATGCCTATTTTAGGAATTATGACATCTCTAATTATAACTATTACCTATTTTTGTTTACTCTCTTAAACTTTTATCTAATTCATAGCAATATCGGTTATTTTGGGGCCGTCCATAAAGTACATACGCTCATAGGGGGGAAGGGGGAGGTTTTCAAAAAGCGTATGGAGGGTGGGGGTCATTAAAAAACGTTTTTTAAATTGGGATCCTATGCCGCAAACAAAGAGCTTTTGGGTTGTATAAAGTATCTAAGGTACCTCCTCCACCTTTTTTTTCCATAAACTTTTTCATTGAAAAAAAAAAATTTAGAGGGGGGGGGGTATTTCAATAACGTACGTACTTTTTATTGGGGGGAAGGACTTAGAAGTACGCATGGGAACAGGGGGGAGGGAGGGGGTCAATTTTCAAAATTTTCGGCGTACGTACTTTATCGACGACTTCTTATTTCATTAATTTTATTTTTACTTTTGTTTACTCGATGCTTTTGATTTTTATAAAACACATTCATTCAGGATTCTGGGACAAAATTAAGTTGTGAAGCCCCAAAATCTAATTATTGTCTATACAATCACATTGTAAATACGATTGTAAAGACTTTGAAATATACCAAGTATTTAAAGCAGCCCCAAATAATTGGGGTCTGGGATTATATTACCAGTTGTGGGAGCGGCTGTTTTCACATATTGTTTCGCTTCATTTACATTTAAACAATATGATATTAAAAAATAGAAGGCGAAAATAAACTACTTCATTATTTTTATTATAATTTATTTCAAAGAAATAAAATGTTCTCATATTTCGCCTAAATCAACTTTTAGTCGACTTTAAAAATTTATTAGTTGAATTGAGAAATAATATTAGTAAATTTAGTCGATAGTCGAATTATTTAATAATTGTAACAACACTAATTTTTCCATAACGTGCACCTCAGACAATAGGCGGGGTGAATAAAAAAAACAATTGCTTTTACTCAGCTTTTTTGGAGTAATTGCTCAGCTTTACGTGAACAAAAATTTAAGCAAAATTGCTAAATATTTATTCACGTAAAGCTGAGCAATTACTCCAAAATAAAATCCTATTTGAATAATTTGCATTAGATCTTGATATGTCAATTAATGATTCTGTAATACTTTTATTCATTTTTATAGGGCTATGAAGTTATTAAATAGAGAATAGATGATTCCAAACAAACCACTTTCAACGTCACGGTTTGTTTAAAGTATGACTGTTATAGTTATTCGTGATGTCACGATTCGTGACATTGCATCAGGTGCGTAAATTTATTTTCGTGAATTGAAGTCATTTAAATTCACACAATAGTTTTCAGAGCCTTCAAACCTTCGATCCCACTGAAAATTGATGCGTCTCTCGTGAAGCAAATTTAATAATAATCTTATTAGCCGAAAAATCTAACAACTGTAACGGAAGCATTCTATAAAATTATCAATAATGGCTTCTGATATTATACCGTAAATGACACGACATATGTCAGATTAAATTTCTTTAAACATAGATATTTATCATATTTTGGCATACCGTAGTAAACCAAAAATATAAGCTCAAAGAATAGTTTTAATACCTAAAGCCATAATTGGATTAAGATTATTTGCTACCCGCGGATTATTTTTAAAGTAGTTTCCTTAATTTTTTCTTTATATAACTTATTTTTTAGAACAATTTTTTTTTACTTACATAATGAAAAATGACAATTTATATAATATTATTTTATAAGTAAATTTTATTTATATTTGGTCGCCTATTACTTTTATGTAATTCTTTTTCATATAAAAGTTTTTTTTTACAGTTACGGTAATATAATATTTTTTTCATAAATTATTTTTATATGTAAATGTAAATTGCATTTTGAGGAACTATGAAATTATGTATGTAATTTGAAAAAGTAATTAATATTTATCTGTAAAAGTAAATTGCTTTTTTATGAGACTTACTTTCTAACTTGTAAAAGTAAATTACTTTTTGATGTAATCTGTTTTTACATAAGTTACTTTTAAAAGTAAAAAAACTTACTTTATAAAGTAAAAGTCGTTTCATAAAAATTGATTACTTTTTTGTAAATGTAAATTCAATTTGAACGGTGACAATTACTTACATAATAAACTTTTTTTTAAAAAAATTACTTACTCGTGTAAAAAAAAATGTAAGTAAAAAAAATTACTTACTCGTGTAAAAAAAAATGTAAGTAAAAGTGCCATCCCTACTATTGTTGTTAAGTATGGTAATTTTATTTTTTAATGTTATTAGCGTATAAAGATTTAAATCAGTGATTTAAAGGAAAGTATAAACTTTCAGGAAGAAAACTTTTTAAATAAAATATTACAAACAAACAGTTTGTTAGACATCGAAATTGGCAATTTAAAAAACAAATTTAATTACTTGGAAAAACGTTCACGACAGAATAACCTAAGAATTGATGGATTAACTGAGCTGCCCACTGAAACTTGGAATGATCGTGCAAATATGCCTAAAAATATATTTATAAACAAGCTGGGAATCTCCGAGGAAATAATAGTTGAAAGAGCTTATCGTATCGGGAAAATAAAAGAAGATAAATCTCCACGAACCATGATTATTAAATTATTAGACTTTCAAAATAAAAAATTAACATCAGCAAAAAATCTCAAGGGAACGGGTATTTTCATTAACGAAGACTTCTCGAATGAAACAATGGAGATTAGGAAAAAGCTTTGGGAAGAAGTCAAACGGCTACGCAAAGAAGGTAAATACGCAATTATCAAATATGATAAAATATTTGTCAGAGAATTTCGTAAATAGGAGAGTGTTTGCAAAAAAAAAAAAAAAAACCGCAATCTTTGTAGTTAATTTATGTAAACCGACAAAATGGCAATCGAAACAATGGAGTTTGAAACCTATTACTCCTATTATTTTAAAACCGCAAATAATATTTTACCTAACGATTTTTATCACGCAGATGAAAAAATATTTAACGAAAAATGTTGTAATACAGAATATTTTGAAATTGATACTTTTAAATCCCAATTCAAACAAGGTAATGAAGATTTTACAGTTATTCACATAAACATAAGAAGTATTAACTCAAATATCGACAAATTGAAAAGTTTTATTTTAGAATGTAATTATTCATTCACC